CAACTTTCACCATACAAAACCGTGCTACACAATGCTTTGTATTCATGACCAACCGGATCATATCCCAAGAACAGATACATGTGTTCCCTTTCTAATCCACCGGTACTAGAAGCTTTGATATCAGGCAATGTTACCATCTGTCTAGTGCTAGGGTTACATATGGTGAACCGCCCTGGATATGAAGGATGTAACAAAACAGAACAATTCGTTTACGGAAGAGCAATGAATAAGGTCCACAGGCGAACCTGACACCACCGTCATTTCGAGATTGGTATCCAAAGAAGAATAACCAATAGGTTCCACGAACCAACCGGGTGTTGGCATCTTAGGTATCTTTTTTTCATTGTGTGAAGACGACAAGAGAAACACACGATTCTCATCATTACGAACTGCAACTAGAAACCGTGACCGAGTTTGGGACAGACAGGCGAATGAATCAATGAATCTTTGGTTTCAGATGGTGGACAACCATTCAGTGGATACACATTGGAACCTCTTAAGAGATTTTGCGGGCAATCTAGTCAAAATCTCAAAGGTTGTTAGATCAAGAGGGATATAATGAGCTAAGTTGCTGATTGAGCCTGTACAAACACCATCCTCCTCACCTCTCATATCATCAGAATCGTCTTCATATGACATTGGCTTCAAAGGAAAAAGGAATACAGTTTTCATCGAGTAACCAAAACCGAAATTTGAAAATCTTAATTCACTTTGAAACGCCAAATCGAAAGAAGAAAAAACGATACTCTACCTGAAGGAATCCACTTTTAAACAGCAGACGCTTACCCTTAGGTCTCGAAAAAACGATATTGCAAGAACAAAATGATAATATGATAATACATTATTAAATAGGCCTGGGACTTCGGGTTAACCGAACTGTACCGGCCAGTTATTTCACGATTGCAATGGACTTAACTTACTTAGAACATAATCAATGGTAGGTTTTAAGTGGTTTTTAAAAGGTTTCTAAAAAGTTAAAAATAATTAAATAATACACAAAACTAAGAATCCCGATAAAAAAAATTTTAATTTTAGAAATTAAGAACCCCAAATTTGAAAGATTAAAAACGCCAAAACAATTTATAATAAAAAAAATTATGAAAAATCCCTAACTTAAAACCTACCATTGATTATGCTCTTATCAAGTTTTCCGCGGCACAAAACCCTAACTCTGTCTCTTTCTCCAATCATCTCCGCACGGGACACGAAACTCTAAGAACTGAATTCCCTCTAAAACACACGAATGTCTTTGTTTTTGAGGTGAATCTCGAAGCTCTCTGCAGGCAGGGAAAAACCTCGTTTCTTCTCATCATTGCCTCAGTTCCCGCGTTTGCTGCTTGGCCGGGAGAAGACATTGGATGCGACCAAGGAATAGATATGTAGAAGCGAGAAGAAAGCTCCCAATGACCTCCATATGGGAGATTTCATAGGAGCATCACAAGGTTGGTTCGTTTCTAAGAATACCAAAGACGATACCTTGCTTCTCACGGATTTGTACAAGCCATGGGTTTCATCTCCAAGAGTCATATCATTGCCTTCACCCGGGGTTATCTCCTCCTCATCGTTCACTGTACCAAAGTGTCTCTTTCTTCTCCTGATCCTATCCTAGAAGACGACTTTAGTGTGGCTGCAAATTTCAATGATAATCAGCTAAGTGTATGCAAGCCTTGTCGTGACGACTCTACGTGGACTCACATCGAGATACCTCATTCAGGATCCTTTGATCTCATGTATACAAAGAGAGACGAAACCTTCTACTTTACGGCTTGTGAGGGTTTATTTAATCTCACCAACAACAACGAGCTCAAGTATAAAGCTCTACGCCTTCGAAACGAGCCACAAATGTCAAATCCAGACTCCTCGGACATGTTGGAGAAATGTCACAAGACCGAGCATTTGGTGGAGTCACCCTCTGGTGAACTTTTCTTCATCAAGTGGTACACAAAGAGCCATTACGTACACGAAGTTTGCGGTAGCTACAAAATTCGCCACATTAGACCTCAACGGTTTATGGTGTTTAGGGAAAAAGAGAAGAGGAGCAATGACTTTTGTTACACGGAAGATATTGGAGATCTCTGTATCTTCCTTGGCAAGAGTGAAGCCTTTTGTCTATCGGCAAGCATGTACCCGGGACTCAAGCCTAACTCCATCTATTACACTGGCCCTAACTCCCCTTGGTGGCGTA